TATATATATATATATATATATATATTAAAATAGAAGTAAATAGTGAATGCAAATATATAAATTGACAATGTATACATATTACAACGTTATATGTGCAGCTGTTATATGCAAATTGGCATGTAAAGTATTTTGGTAAACAAATAGGTGCATATGTGTATAAAAAGACTGATGTTTGTTTCACCATTACTATCATCAAACATAGTTTATCACTAAACCTAAAACCGTAAGCTATAAATATGTGTTATTTTTTAAATAAACAATAACTTACACATTCTTCACTAATATTTAGGATTTTGTAAATACTCTGTATTGATCTGTTGTCATTTTCTACTAATAAAAGGCTCTAAATTATATTCCTATTTGAAATTTTGATGTAACACAAAGACACTTTTCACAATATGAAATAAAACACAGATGCACATCTTATTCAAAACATTTACATATTAATGGCAAATTTCCAAGTACAAATAATAGCATTAATGTATATACTGTATATCAGAGTGCATTTCTAAAAGGCTTAACTGAAAAAGGGTATTACTCACTCTGAATTCAACTAACCCCATGCTGTGCACATTATAGGATGTAGGGAGCAATTTCAGACATAGCTAATGAAGTGACCCACGATTGCACATCCGGCCTCAGGAGATGTACCTTCTTGCAGAGTTTAATGTCTACATTTCACGCCTGAACAGCTAATAAAGTCTTCTGGTTCGCTCGAAAATGAGTGAATCAAAGTTTTGTTTGTCTGTTTGCAGATTTTTCGGACACTTCAGCCATCGGTCCGAATGGCAGCTCATTAAAATCGACTACAAGTCCGTATTCACCAGAAGGTGCACAGAAGGGGACTATCAAACCTGGCACCTGCATAACCAGGTATAAACACAGAGTACAATATTTGAGTTGTGCGTTGTTTGTTCTTGTGAGTGCAACAGCTGAGCTGAGTTTCAAGTGTAGCTTTATTTAAATAAGGGATGGTGTACAGGCAAGGGTCAACAGGAGCCATGGCGAGGAAGGAGATAATAATCCAATAGACAGTCCAAAGGTAAACACACAGGCATACAGGAACAGAGAAAACACTTTGAATTGCACACTAAACAGTAGAACAAGACTCTGCAATGTGAGAGAGATCATTCATTAATTTTCCTTCAGCTTAGTCCCTTAATTCACCAGAGGTCGCCACAGTGGAATGACCGCCAACTTATCCAGCATATGTTTTATACAGCGGATACCTCTCTAGCTGCAACCCAGTACTGGAAAACACCCATACACAGTAGTTCATGTACACACTAGGGCTAATTTAGTTTATTCAATTCACCTATAGTGTATTTCTTGGGAAACCAGAGCACCCGGAGGAAACCCAAGAGAACATGCAAACTCCACAGAGAAATGCTATCTGAACCAGCCGGGATTCCAACAAGCGACCTACTTGCTGTGAGGCGACAGTGCTAACCACTGAGCCACCGTGTTGCCCCTGGAGGGTTTATATAGTGGGTGTAATCTGTGTGAATAATCTTCAGCTGTGTGTGTTTCTCTGTCAGTGCAAATTGTTAACAGCTGTGGGTTTGCATTGCTGCAAAGCGCCATGGTAAATGTAGTCCAGTTGAATAGCGAGTAGCACATACAGCTCGCTGGAATGCCCTGTAATGAGTTTTGTGTACACTCCAGCAAATGACTGTTGCAGTTTCTGACTTTAATATTATTTTCTTAGGGTGAGCCGTGCATAATGGGTCAAAAGCAGATCTACATGAAGCGTCGGCCTGGAAATTATTGTATGGTGGGATGGGACAACTCTAGGATCCTGTCTGCTGAACCCTGCATATGCAGAGCACATGACTTTGAGTGGTGAGTTAACCAACGTAAACTAGTATCAGCGGATCATATATACAATTGAAGTCAAAATGATTAGCCGTCTTGTGAATGTTGTGAATTGTTTTTTTCCAAATATTTCCCAAATTATGTTTATCAGAGCAAGGAATTTTTCATGTTATTTCCTATAATATTTTTTCTTCTCGAGAAAGTCTTATTTGTTTTATTTCGGCTAGAATAAAGCATTTTTTTAAATATAAAAAAAAAAACATTTTAAGGCCAATATTATTAGCCCCCTTAAGAAATATTTGTTTTTGGTTATCTACACAGTAATTATACAGTAATTGTCTAATAACCAAACCTTGCCTAATTAATATGGTTAAGCCTTTAAATTGTACTAGCTGAATACTAGTATCTTGAAAATATCTAGTAAAAATATTATGTACTGCCATCATGGCAAAGAAGTATTTTCACTCCGTTAAACAGAAATTGGGGAAATAAAATACAGAGGGGCCAATAATTCTGACTTCAACTGTATATATTTTTATCCATTTGCTGCGACTGTTTTAGTGTATCATGAAGCCTGGCTTTGGCCACCACCAGAAAACACTCATAAAACTCATAGAAAATCCTTAGAAAACTCTTAGGGTGCTTTCACACTTGGTTCAATTGCCTGGACCGTACCCAAGTTCGATTGTTCCCCCTTGCCACCTCCTCGGTTGGTTTGTGTTCACACTGTCTTTTTTCCTTCTGAACCCTGCGTACGCTTGCGTCATCAAGCTGCTGTTTTGTTTACAGCCGTTGCTAGGTGATGGCCACGCAAGCAAGCGCCGAAATGGAAAGACGTCCGCACATTGTGGTCATTCTGCTTTTACTGAAAGCTTTTGGTTTTGGACATACAGAAAGCGACTCTATCTGCTGTAAAAATATTATGCACATTCAGAACATCACATAGTGTCTGCAGAAGCTGTTTTTGGAGGAGACAAGCAGACATCACTGTGTATCACTGTGTTTGCCCTGGCTCAGTCCCGGGCGTGTCACCAAGGTAAGAAACGTGACACACACACACACAAACGGACTAACGAACGAACGTTATAAAAACGATAGTTTGTTGTACAGTTGGCAGTTCACTTCCATTATTTGGTACGATTGCATTCACATCTGAAGTAAACCGTACCAGAGATCGCATGAACCGTACCCCAGACCACCTCTTTCAGGCAGACTCGGGTACGGTTCACGGGTTCGCACCCGGGTTCAGAATACACATTCACACTTGCTAAACGTACCGTACAATGACGTCAAATGAACCTGGGTGCGGACCAAAAGTGCTAGTGTGAAAGCACCCTTAGAAGTGTTACAGCAAACAAGACTCAGCAATGTGTGTGTGAGAGTAAGGTGTATTAATAGTCCTGGTAATGAGTCTTCACAAGCTTCAGCTGTGTGTTTGCAATCAAGGAAGAGAACTGGAATTGGTGTGTGTGTGTGAGTGGTGCATGAAGGGGTTTGTAGTTCATAACAGTGGCAGATTTGTAGTTCTCCAGCAATCTGCAACTGTTAGATTGCTGGTGATCGTGGTATTGGTGATTTTTAAAATATGATTAATAGTATTATTATTATTATTATTATTATTGTTGTTGTTGTTGTTGTTGTTGTTGTTGTTGTTATTAATAACCTTGTCTTTAAATACAAATATGTTCTGATATCAAATGACAAAGTACAGTCTAGTCTGAAGGTCAGATTGACTGCGGTAATAGTTAGTCATTATAGTTATTATGGAGTTCTGGTAGTTCTAGTGTTAAACTGTTTAATTTACTTTAGACTGACTGTGTTATTAATTTGATCTGACTCCAATTAAACGCAGGTCTCAAATGTGGACTGATTATAATTATGTGCTGATCATCATTTTAGATGCGATCTTAATTTAGATATTTGATTACTATTATAGGTGTGCTCGCACTCGTCCATTTACCATTGGTAATGGTCTTACAGACTCGCCAGTCTGAACATAATCAGAGGTCTCAGGGTTAACTAACACCATTAAGTTTGGCTGCCACATCTCTGCTTGAAGCAAAAATAGAAGTAATGTGTCATGATTCAGGGCTCAAAAATAAAAAAAAACTTTTTACTTGGAAGCACTGGGACTGCCAACTTCAGAGAGTTACAAGCTCCAAAGAAAAAAATTGGAGCTCTCACCAAAAATTATTAAACTGCAGTACTACAGGGTAAACATAGTTCCAGATCATAGTTATTATAGTATATTTGCAGAAAATTTACACTACTACTACTACTACTACTAATAATAATAATAATAATAATAATAATAATAATAATAATAATAATAATAATAACATTGAATACTAAAAAAATATATAGATCATCATTATATACATCATTGTTACACATGGATTGGCCACCAGAGAGTCCAGTCTTTAACCTTATTGATAATCTTTGAGATGTGCTGGGGAATTATTAAACTGCACTACTACAGAAAAAACAGCCCTGGATAAAATTAAGTTCCAGTTTAAAGTTATTATTAATTATTTGCAGGAAATGATAATACTACTGTCACGTTAACGTGATCAAAACAAAACAAAAACAAAAAGGTGTGGATCCAAGTGCAGATTTATTTACAGTGAAACAAACAAGGTGATCAAAAATACAAAGTAACAAACAAACGACAAAACCAGAAACTAAAACAGAGACAAGGCTCAGAAACAAAAACACTACAAACTAGACTTTGGCAAAAATACAAAAACACGATCAGGAACAGCAATTTGGAAATATCAGACTTACTGGGAGCAAGAAGACAAGGAAGACAAAGTAGACAAACGACGCGATGACAAACATAGGTGGAATGGTTGAATATATAGTCCAGATAATCAACGGTAACACAGAACAGATGAGATGACGGGTCAGTGTAAGTGTTCCTGTGTATGCGCATGGTATGTATGGGAATGTAGTTCTTTCCTGGGACGCTGCAGTGCCTACAAAGTCCTAGTGCACTACAGCGCCCTCAGGTGGTCACTGACGGATGTGACAACTACTACTACTATGACAACAATGATGACAACTACTGCTTCTACTACTACTACTACTACTACTACTACTACTACTACTAATAATAATAATAATAATAATAATAATAATAATAATAATAATAATAATAATAACATTGAATACTGAAAAAATACCTTTAGACATCATTGTTACACTTGGATTGGCCACCACTTCCAAACTTTTACCTTATTGAGAATCTTTGCGATGTGCTGGAGAAGACTTTAGGTGTAAATACAAGATCCTTTATTGTAATTATTTTAATCCTCAATACAAGATCTTGGCAACATTTTATGCAAATCTGGATGGGAATAAATGTTTTGATGTTGCAGAAGCATGTTGAAATGATGATATGGCGAATGTCTGCCATTATCAAAGCTATTCGATTAATTATTCGAGTGTGCAGCTTTTTTTGACAGGCACTATATGATATTTAAGGTTTGAAACATGAACATATATATTGACTATTTAAACTATTGTCATTTTCTGCAAATAAATGCTCTAAGTCATAATATTTTTATTAGAAATTTTTGAAGACACAATATTACTGTTTTTTTTTTTTTTTTTTTTATCAATTTCATACAAAGAATTCCAGCTTTAGACATTTTGTTATACACAATTTCTAAGGTCTTTACAAGTCGATAAAAACAACACATGTACACCTGTATTGTATAACAAGCAAATACGGCCCAGCACAAATTGTAAGTTAAATTGCGAAATACATGTTAAACCCTTTTGTCGTGGTTGTTGTTTACCTTTAAGTTCAATCTTAAAAAACATGCCAACCAAACCCAGAATTTTATCTCAACCAAGAGTTTTATTCTCAATCCAAAGAAAGCACTAGTACTGAGTAAACAGTCTACTTCACAAATAATCAATACATGACCTCGGGCTGATTCTGTATGTCAGACTGTTAAAAAGATCAAGACCTCAAACTTCTTCAGATGTAAAGTGTTGTCTAGATTTACTCATGTACTGCGACTGCATAGCCTTCGTGTTCAGTTCACTGGGATCTGAAAGCTGTTTTAAAAGATCTCTGAATAGACATAGCATTTTTTTGTAGCAGCAGGCCGGTTAACCCCATCCGTAGGGTCAGTGTAGGTGCTTTATTGAGGATTAGGATGCATAGAGACAGAAAATCCAGGACTTTAAAGCTTTTGAAGGCCACATGAGCTGAGAGAGGATGAGAAGATTGATGTTCTCAAAGTTTGTTGCTGTCTTTTAAAGTATATATAAATGCCCTGGGATGTATATTATTTATCACATTCACGCATAGATTGATATGTCTCACATTGATTTGTGTTGACTTTCTTCTGTTCTGTTTGGT